CATGGCTACCGTAGCGGTCCCGTGGCACGAGGCCACACCATACTTCGCTCACACCTAGCAATCCCCTGCTTTGTCCTGTTAACACTTCTCACGAGGACGTGGGGTTGGACTTTGAGAGGCTCAGAAATAATTGGTCGCTGTAAATGCTTATTACAATTGCTAGAGGCGCCTAAGCCAACAGTAGCCACCAGAAATGCAGTTTTTCGTGAGTAGAAGTAGTCGGGTAGAATAAACTGGCTACACACACGTCACACTTAAGGTCTTTCAACGCAGCTCACACGGCTGCACCAAGCACTAAACTGAGTAGATCAGGCAGCGAAACCGTAGACTACCGCCCATATGTGGAAACTGCATTAGTCAAGCGATTGGGGGCGGGGGGGGGGGGGGTGAGTTTGCCTATACTGGACTTCCCCTCCCCTCCCCTCATGGGGATGGTGTTGCGTTTCTCGCCAAGGCTGAATGAGTAAACTTTGCTAGACTCATGGTTCAAGACATGTCAATACTCGACTGGTGACATGGTAAATATGGCTTCCACAGCCTCTTTCTTTCTATAACATTCTCATGTGCCTGATTTAGACGACGGTGAAGCTAAATCAGTAAAGCGGAGGCCATGTCTAAGCTATAAGGAGTTTAGGCAACTAGTGTTGTCCGCATAATTTAAAATATCGATCACCCGTGCGAGTTTCCAAAGTCCCATTTAAGGAAAAATAGAAAAAACTCAATGCTCCTCACAAGCATGTCGTAAAAGGCGACTAATTAACAATTTGCTGAAACCTGATCTGTTGGGTCGATAACTACAGGATTCACAGCTTAGCTATAAACCACAAAACGTAACAAATAGGACAAGTGCAGAAGAAGAGAAAGAATACCAGTCGGTACTCGATCGGTGATATTGTGAGCATCTCATTGACCTTTACTTCCCAGAACAATTCCAGGCATACATTTTTAACGTGGTCGGTCTGAAGACCCATGTTAGTTTAAAAATAAATCTCGGCCCTCTAAAGAGCTTGAAACGAGTGCCCTATGAATCAGCAGGCCAGTATTCTAGTCACTGCACTAGAGCGGCTCTCAGACCACCTTAGTAAGTAAAGGACCCTTTCCACGCCTTCAAGTGTTTTATAGACCAATCGGCATATGGTTGGCGATGTGATCGGCATCAGGCGGGCCGCCTTTACGAACAGGACACCGCCTGGTACCCATTCGAGATTGGGTCGACCAGGAAGCCACAGTCATTTTTAAAAGAAGTCCTCGGCGGCTTCCTATGTGTGTTTTTTTGCTGTTGTACGCCGGTGGCTGATTTGGTATATGATCCCTGACTCATATATTCAACTCGATACTTGGTCAGTGGTTTGGCTACCTCGGCTGCCTTTACTTCCCAAGACAGTACTTCGTGCCTATGTTATGCTAGGAGCCAACGTCTGTTTAAAAAAAAAATATCCCCTCCAATGCTGATTGGAACCGAGAACATCCGGTCCAGCAGAGCACGGTAATGTTCTCTGTTAAACCAACAGAAATACCAGGATTCCTTTTCTGATCAAGATGCGGCTCTCTTATTTAACCTGTCTCATGAAATATTTAGCTAACGTTTTCAAACTCCGTAAAAATATCAATATTTTTAATGTATTGGTATGCTTAACCATCCTTAATTAGTCTGTTTACTACAATTGTATGCTCCAGTGTTTCTCCATGTCGTCACATGTTTAGGAGTCATATAGAAAAAGCAATCCATTCCAAAATTACGGATGTTTTGCCAAGTTCGCGTCAACCCATTAACTGTAATCAGGCTAATTCTCTGCTTTGAATCAGTATCTGTGTTTCCAAATATCATAAATACGACAAACTAGATGTTTGTTTGCATTCTAATTATTTTCCTACAAGGACATGATGATTAACATGTAACATGCTACATGTCAACAATTTACACGGGTACTGAGTTACAGATTTTTTTGGACACCACTTTGAAACGAACTTATAACTGTTATTTATATTTTAGTTATTATTTTTTTCTCAGTTTTGTTTAAAATGCTTACAGAATCAAGCAGTTCATATATATATAGCATTACGTATCTCCTAATATGGTGAATGAATTTAGACAGATTTTTCCGACAGCAAGTTTTCGCAGTAGGAAATTAGACCCGAAAGACATGTTGAGATGCTGTGGAGAACACATTACATCCGTGATATATCTCGTTTTTAATTCATAATATATCAGGAGAAGGGAAATAAGCACAGATCTGTAGTTAGCTTGTGGGCTTGCGGGTCGTCTGGAAGGTCATGTGTTCGAATTGTAACCAAACTTCCACGTCGACCATGCCTACAATGGGTAACGACAATCCTGACCCATATAGTCCGTTCCAAAAGTTGTAGCCAACTTTAAAAAATCTGTAACTCAGAAATCGTTGGGTCTAAGTTGATGACATTTAGCAGGCAACCTGGAAATAATCATGTACTTGTAATAACTGTTTTAAAAGTAAACAACCATCTAGTTTGTGTGTGTATGTGTGTGTGTGTGTGTGTGTGTGCGTGTGAGTGTGTGTGTGCGTGTGAGTGTGTGTGCCTTATCTGAGGTAATGAAAAAAAAAAAGAAAACTAATTCAAAGTAATCAGTCATCGTTCTTAGAGCTGACAGAGTAACGGTAACATTTCAAAATATCACACTGTACGCGTTTCACTTTCACGTGCTTATCCTCAGCAATAGGCTGCTGAGAGTTACATGAGCACACATTTATTTGGAGTTGGGACAGGCTATTAAAATAATCACCACGCCTCACCGCACATATGAACTGTTTTCAAAACAATCTACACGTGTAGGTTCTTTTTTCATAGGGTACACATGCAAAACAAATCAAAGAAAATCGCCGCTTCAAGAAAACAGCAGCACCTGTGCAATTGTGAATATATAGTTGTAAGGACAAGGAAATATTCGTACAAGTGTTTTTGAAACATCTGTCAAAGTGTGAGGGCACAACTGTTGAAATGCTTTAATAGATCCTTAAACGAGTAGACAGATATCCTAACTGACAGACAGGCAGGCAGGCAGATAGGCAGGTATACTTATCAGATGCAGAGTAATTGATAGACAGTTTGATAGACATAGACAGATAGACTGACTGATAGACAGATTTATAGAGAGATCGATATTCACATTTACTGCCTGACAGATAAACTTATTACCAGATATTTTGAAAGATAGATGGACTATAGCAGACATATTACTGACTGACAGTTTGACAGACAGATCACAAGATACATAGAGCTAATTTTGTTTAATGCAACAACAAAAATTATCAAGTTTCAAATTTGCTAATTTGCAATTATGTTAGTTTGTAGTAAAATAATTTTAATATTTTGAAATAAAGTGTAATAACCAGATTATTTGGTGTTAAAATCTAGCAGAAACCCTATCCTAACGGTCAGTCGTTGCTTGCAGGAAATCCTTGTCTCGTCATTTTCCGGTTCCGCATCGTACTGTATAATTTAGAAAATGAAATCATCCATAAATTATGCATTAACTCAGGGGAAAAAAAAGGGGGGGGGGGGCGCGGTGTTTTATATCCAAAAACAAAAAGGTGGCTTCCTCTATAGCAGCAGTTCTCAATCTGTCGGTCGCGACCCCCATTTGGGTCGAACGACCCATTCACAGTTTCTCCTAAGACCATCGGAAAACACATATTGTTTGAAGTTATCTAGGAAAATAATTGATTTGGGGTCGTTACAACATGAGGAAGCTGTATTAAAGGCTCGCAGGTTTAGAGCCATTGCTCTATATGGTTTATGGCTCATTGGAAGGGTGTGGTGGAGAAGGGATCGAGGGAGGCGAAGGGGAGGGCGGAGGGGGAAGGAACCCACTGCCCCCAAACAGTCATGTCATAAAAGACGAATTAGGGATGTTTCCTTTGAAGTCGGAATGTTTCAGCTTTGGAGTCGAGGAAACAACGGTCTGCATACAAACTAGCCAGATTTGTAAAACAGATGTATGATGATGATGGCATTTCTCATACACATGACTAATTTAGAGGACTGAGTATATTTTATTATAATAATAACCGTCTTTACTAAGTGTCTTGCCGACTAGCGTAGGCTATCATGCTTCTCCCAATCTGTAGATCTTCAATATTATTTTTCAGCTCATGAGCTGAAAGCTGTCTGTGCCATGAATAAAGCTGCTTAGAATGTTCTCTTGTCTTTCTATATCCCTGTTTCTATAAATGTTTACAGTTCCTAAATTTTTGTCATTTTCTATTCTCACAATGCCGTGAAACTGTATCTTTCGATTAAATTTATCTACAGTAATTACGTTTCTTTAGAGCCAGGAACAGTTTTTAACCTTCTTTGGAAGCCAGAATAGGCGTTGCTAGTATTTTCAGCTTTGCTATCATCTGCAGTTAATGTTAATTTTCTAGCGATTTTGGTTTCACCAAAAGGACTCATTTATGCAACATTAGTCAACTCTTTTGTTACCAGTCAACATACCGTAAGTATATTATTTATTCCATACTCCTTAAACATTTTATTTCCTAACTTCTTCCGTTATTTTCTTTTCTTACCTTAATTAGTTCACCCCAAGCGCAACTTACTAATCATTGCAAAGAAACTAAAACCTCTAAAACTCACGAACATTTATAGATTGTCGCTCTTTAGTAAACACTAGAATGTCGCTCTTAAGTAAACACACTTTGCGGTACACTCTGTTCAAGTAACATGTACCTCAGATTGAAAGAGTTTAAAACATACTCTTTTTTTTTTAATTACAGTTGCCTTTTGTTTATACCATCGACCAGGTTATTGGTGCTAACACATTACCGTTACCATACCTGGCTTTAGGATATGTTGTAATAATTTGTGTCCTGACTTTAATTCTGTGATACTGGATGCTTAACACTGGGTATCATTTTTCCGGTCTATAAGTGCACACTATAAATTTTCGGTGATTGAGGCGAAGACACGACCCACGATGACTCTAGCAAGAGTTTAGACTTTACATTTGTGTGTACGTGTGTATGGACTCTCCCATTTTTGTGTTGAAGAGTCTGGCAAAAGGAAGCCAAATGTTTCGCATGATTTTCTACCAGCTGATTCCCCCACTTCGGAAGCATTTGCTGTTCTCTCGGGAAAAGGGTAAGTATCACGTTTCAATTACTTGTTCTTCTAACAATGCTGGTTGTTACTCGTTTGTCAAGACAGTGGCGTATGGTGTTTAGTGGTACAATAGTTCATTTATATGTATATGTGTTGTTGTGGATTGTTGTTGTTCAGATATTGCCTTAACTGAATGTTCCGTCTCGTTTTAAAAATGCTTTGAAACACTAGGGACATATTTAATTGGGTTGATTATTACCGGTTTTATCTTCGTCTCTCAGTACAAACCTCTAGAAAAAAAAAAAAAAATTCGTAGTTTCAGTCATGAAAGCGAGAATCTCTAAAAACTTTGAAAGAACTATTATCATCAGTGTAATGAATTAATGTGGCACTGTCTGAAAAACGATAAAACATAAATATATAAATTAGTTTTCACTTGAAAGATCACAGCCCCACATATTGATTTTGCTGGCGTGCGTTCTTTCGTAATAGCTAAGCGTAGACGTAGCAACAAAGTCTACAATTAATGGAAGCAATAAGCATGGGATCGCTAACACGTTTCTGCAGCGAATGCACAATAAATCAGTAGTAATCGCAGCACATTTGAAGTAAAGGTTTTTCCTTCAGCCACTCGAGGCCTCTGAGATTTCGTGAGGAATTTCCGGGGAAGTCACGTAGTATAGGGGTGTCAGCGTTAGTGTTAATTTGTGTTCATTTGACACGAACGAACGAAAGTAATATACAGTAGAACCTCGCTTAACGAGCACCTCTCATAACGAGTAATTCGCATAACGAGCAAAACAAATTGTAAAAGAATGACTCGCTTAACGAGCGACATTTCGCATAACGAGTGGCGAGGAGAGGAAAAGTCCCGGATTTTGTGCATGTTACATCAGTCTGTGTTTAGCACTCGTTCCGGTAGCATTGTCGCTTGTGATTAAACATTTTCTCAAACTTGTGTTATATTGTGATATATGTACACGAATCCTCCAGGCCTACAAGCTGACTTCACTGATGAATTTAAGTTAATCAAGATCTAGTTTCTGCCTCCCAACACCACTCCGTTACTCCAGCCAATGGACCAGCAAGTTATTTCTAACTTTAAGAAGCTCTACACTAAAGAACTCTTCGAGCATTGTTTTCAGGTGACTGAAGGGACCAACCTCACTCTCAAAGAGTTTTGGAAAAATCACTTCCACATCGTTGCCTGCCTCAAGATGACCGACAAGGCGGGGGAAGAGGTTACCAAGAGAACCCTAACTTCTTCTCGGAGGAAGCTTTAACCGAAGAGTGTTGTCGATTTGTGACTTTGAGAGGTTCAAGACAGTACATGTGGAACCTGTAGTCAACGAGATTGTGTCTTTGGCCACTATCATGGGATTCTAGGTGGATAACAGTGATATCAAGGAGCTTGTGGAAGAGCACAGTCAAGAGCTGACCACCGAAGAGCTTATGGAGTTGCATTGTGTTTTACAGCAAGAAGTTTTGGAGAAAAGTTTGTCAGAGGAAGAGGAGGAAGAGGTAACAGAAAAGCAACAATCTTCTAGCGAAAAAAGAAAAATGCTGAAAGCATGGGAAACTGTTGCTTCTCACATTGAGAAGCATCACCAAAATAAGGAAGTGGCTATGCGTGCTGCAAATTTAATGATAATGCTGTGTGGCATTTTCGCCAAATTTTGAAGCGTCGACAAAAACAAATGTCTCTGGACATATTTCTAGTAAAAAAATAATTAGCTGTGTATCATAATTATTTCGACTATTTTTTCCTGCAAATCGAATTCGCATTCCATGTTGGTTCGTTTCGCGTTTGAAGAAAAGATGAAGATGATTCACTCTCCTTAAATATGTATTTAATTTTCTTTGAATAAATGTTATAGTATAACTTATACATAGCATTTTGTGAGTATTTTTTCGACATGGAACGCATTATCGTATTTTACATTAATTTATATGAGAGAAATTGCTTCGCATAACGAGTGTTTCGCTTAATGCGTATGATTCTGGAACGAATTATGCTCGTTAAGCGAGGTTCCACTGTACACGGAAAATTAAAAAAAAAAAAATAAACGCTGAAAACAACCAGCGCATTCACACGAATGAAAGTTTCGTACTTTCGTGTGGAAGACAGTTTGTCGACCTGAAGCACATGCCTTTTCAAACATTCAAGGAAAGATATCAGACTGAATGAAAAGGATATCAGCGAACTTCACAATGTAACAAACACAATCAAAACGTGAACGTTGCGCCTATTGAGCCTTCGTCAGCACATACATAAATTAGACAATACTAAACAAATATACAATATCACTTATCTTCGTATCTCGAGGCAGCCAGATCTATGGTGAGCCTATAGACAAGCGAGACACGTGGGAACGGAAAATGAAATATTCGGGGAATGCCAGGGTCCGTAACTGGAGGATAAGATGAGACTGTATAGACAGTTCAGTCCCCTAGGACTTTAGATGAATCTGTTTTGGCAGTTTAGTCAACTGGGCGTCAGAGTTCCTAAAGTGTATATAAAGCCATTTTCATGAGACTTGCGATCTCTGTCACTAGAGTGGCTAGATTTAATGGCTGCCATCTCAATATCGTGGACACCTTGGTGGTCCTGGCAATCGAAATGCAATGGTGCTGGTTTCAGGGAACCGTTCTGCACATCTAAAAGATGTCTGAACCTGTCAGCTAGTCGAAACGCCGTTTTAATGCCCTTAGAATTTGAACATTTCCTGGGAACTTTGAAGGAAATCCTCAGGAAGTCTCAGATCTCCCGAAATGAGGTGACATAAAAGAAAAGAACTTAAATTATAACTCCGAAACTTTACAAATATTAAATTAGATACGCGAGATAGAGCCACGGAGAAGATAAATGGAAATATTTAATAAACATACATGTGGAAAATATAATTCTAAATTTACAAGATCTGAACTTGAGAAAACTGACACTTAAACAGCTTTAATTCAGGGAAGCAGACATGCTTTGGCCATTTTCAACGTGACAGCACCGGACGTACCGACGCCTGCTGGTCGTTCCGTACCTTTCCCCAAGCTTGCGGGCTCTCTAATGGCAACTGTTTCCTGCGTGTCTAGAATTGTCTCTAGTGATGACGTAAACATATGCCTTTTTACTCATTTCGTTTCGTATTAAAGCCTTCATTTCCATACTTTTCCCCTTTGTTCTCTTGCCCGTTGATTTTTCTAGTCACTGTTTGTGCTGTATTTAGTACTCCGTTGATAAAAACTTTGGTCGAAACGTTAGGTTGTGTTAGTATGCGTCTTTTTATTCCCTCCGTTGCGCTTCCAAGTCACAATTTTATGTGGCATTCAGAATTGTTTCTGAAGAAGGAAAGCTAACTCGATCAATAAATGCCCTGAGGAAGTTCAATGTGTCGGAGAAGTTGGGGCAAATATTATAGTTAAGCGCTAAACAGGAACAAATCAATGACTTCCAAACCAGAAATGATGGGACGAGAAAGAAAGAAAGAAAGAAAGAAAGTTAAAAAGAAAGGAAGAAGGAAAGAAAAAATACGCGGGCATGGGAGAAAAAAAAAAAAGACGTAAGGGCATGAAACTTTAAAAAGTCAGGTTAACTGTGGAAACTTTCTCCTGAGTTGTGAAATAGCGTCGTTTTTCTAAGTACTTGACAAGTGATGATTTTGATGACACGTAAACATTTGCTATTGATAACCCGCCCATAGAGACTGGGTGTCTCCTAAAATGTCACACAAAAGATAGGTTTCATTTGAGCAACTTTCCCAGCTATTTTGATTCTCGCAGACCTTTTCAGAATTAGTTTATTTGGCGGAGCTGCTTATGCCTACAGTGAGTCTCCTGTGTCTTATAAGTAAATGATGTTTAGAAATAATGTTACAGAGTAGGGAAAGGGTGGGTAGATGGTAAGGTAATTTAAAGTAAAGAGATATCTGAAACATTTTACAATGTCTTTGACGCCGACCAATTCAGTGCCTAATAAAAGTGGTTAAATACCTTATCTTGAACAGGTTAAACATAACTTTCAAACGAGATTTAAAAAACTTTAAGATGCCTGAATAAATTTCTGCATTTTTCTTTAAGCTTGATATTATGTTTATTAAAGAATATTTTCTGTATAGAGGAATTACCAATATCTTCTTTTGTAACTGAAACACAACCAGGTAACACACTAATAAACAATGTAATACAACTATAGAGAACCAAAAACATCTTCCCTGCCTGTGTGGGTACGTGTGTGTGTATGTGTGTGTCTATGTGTGTATGTGTGTGTGTGTTGTGTTCTCATCATTTTGCAAAAAAACTAGGAGTATATCTTTGTAGCTTCCACGTTGTTTAAAAAACAAAATCTATAGACTATATCATTAAAAAAAAAGCAATAATACAAACATCTGAGTTTAAATATCTGGAACCAACCGTCACCAAAGATGTGAAATTGGCTGAAGAAATTGACATCTATGCAGTAAAGCAAACAAGGTATTGCGATAGCTAGCCACACCCTTCCCTTTCTGTCAGTATAAGACAATACCGATTAGAATAAAGAAACATCTCATACAAAGCATACTCATTCCAGTCTTGTGCTACCAGTGCTAGACATGGTCATTCACAGCAAACCGGAGAAGAACATTGGTAAACATAGAAATAAGATGCCTGTGAAATGTTGCTGGAGTGACCTGAAGAGTTAAAAATCAAGAATGAGGGCATAACAGAAAATGCTGGCACAAAACCAATTCTAAATTACATACAGAGACAGTAAATTAAATAGTTTACCCACTAATAAAGAATATCCCGGGACCCTATACCATACAAGGGTAAATATCCACCCCCCCCCCCCCCCAATATAGAAGGATGTAGAGCACAGGGTAGACCAAGAAAAAGATGGAAAGATATCAGAGAGAGTCTACAACAGCACGATGTGTCTATGGTTGGAGCGGTCGGAAGAGTTAGAAGCAGAACCTTGGGAACTAAACACGAAATTCATCCTTAGTCGCTCGCGTGCAAGATCTCGTGGCGGTTCTCAAGGGCTGTCCTATGTTCTAGGGGTGTCAAGT